ACACACACACGCTCACTCACTCACTCATACACACACACACACACAACACACACACGCTCACTCACTCATACACACACACAACACACACACGCTCACTCATACACACACACACAACACACGCCCGCTCACTCACACACACACCCCCACAAACCACCCACCCCCCCCCCCCCCCACACCCCCACAACTTTTATTTATAGAGTAATGATTAATATATTCAATTATTGAATGTATATTGAAAATATATCGAATAATATTGTTAATACATTACAATATATTGAATCACACTCACTCACTCACTCACTCATACACACACAACACACGCACGCTCACTCACTCATACACACACGCTCGCTCACTCACTCACTCATACACACACACGCACGCTCACTCACACACACGCACGCTCACTCACACACACACACGGTCACTCACTCATACACACACACAACACACGCACGCTCACTCACTCATACACACACAACACACGCACGCTCACTCACTCATACACACACAACACACGCACGCTCACTCACTCATACACACACAACACACGCACGCTCACTCACTCATACACACACAACACACGCACGCTCACTCACTCATACACACACAACACACGCACGCTCACTCACTCATACACACACAACACACGCACGCTCACTCACTCATACACACACAACACACGCACGCTCACTCACTCATACACACACAACACACGCACGCTCACTCACTCATCCACACACGCTCGCTCACTCACTCCCTCATACACACACACGCACGCTCACTCACACACACGCACGCTCACTCACACACACACACGGTCACTCACTCATACACACACACAACACACGCGCACGCTCGCTCACTCACACACACACGCACGCTCACTCGCACGCTCACTCGCACGCTCACTCGCACGCTCACTCGCACGCTCACTCGCACGCTCACTCGCACGCTCACTCGCACGCTCACTCGCACGCTCACTCGCACGCTCACTCGCACGCTCACTCGCACGCTCACTCGCACGCTCACTCGCACGCTCACTCGCACGCTCACTCGCACGCTCACTCGCACGCTCACTCGCACGCTCACTCGCACGCTCACTCGCACGCTCACTCGCACGCTCACTCGCACGCTCACTCGCACGCTCACTCGCACGCTCACTCGCACGCTCACTCGCACGCTCACTCGCACGCTCACTCGCACGCTCACTCGCACGCTCACTCGCACGCTCACTCGCACGCTCACTCGCACGCTCACTCGCACGCTCACTCGCACGCTCACTCGCACGCTCACTCGCACGCTCACTCGCACGCTCACTCGCACGCTCACTCGCACGCTCACTCGCACGCTCACTCGCACGCTCACTCGCACGCTCACTCGCACGCTCACTCGCACGCTCACTCGCACGCTCACTCGCACGCTCACTCGCACGCTCACTCGCACGCTCACTCGCACGCTCACTCGCACGCTCACTCGCACGCTCACTCGCACGCTCACTCGCACGCTCACTCGCACGCTCACTCGCACGCTCACTCGCACGCTCACTCGCACGCTCACTCGCACGCTCACTCGCACGCTCACTCGCACGCTCACTCGCACGCTCACTCGCACGCTCACTCGCACGCTCACTCGCACGCTCACTCGCACGCTCACTCGCACGCTCACTCGCACGCTCACTCGCACGCTCACTCGCACGCTCACTCGCACGCTCACTCGCACGCTCACTCGCACGCTCACTCGCACGCTCACTCGCACGCTCACTCGCACGCTCACTCGCACGCTCACTCGCACGCTCACTCGCACGCTCACTCGCACGCTCACTCGCACGCTCACTCGCACGCTCACTCGCACGCTCACTCGCACGCTCACTCGCACGCTCACTCGCACGCTCACTCGCACGCTCACTCGCACGCTCACTCGCACGCTCACTCGCACGCTCACTCGCACGCTCACTCGCACGCTCACTCGCACGCTCACTCGCACGCTCACTCGCACGCTCACTCGCACGCTCACTCGCACGCTCACTCGCACGCTCACTCGCACGCTCACTCGCACGCTCACTCGCACGCTCACTCGCACGCTCACTCGCACGCTCACTCGCACGCTCACTCGCACGCTCACTCGCACGCTCACTCGCACGCTCACTCGCACGCTCACTCGCACGCTCACTCGCACGCTCACTCGCACGCTCACTCGCACGCTCACTCGCACGCTCACTCGCACGCTCACTCGCACGCTCACTCGCACGCTCACTCGCACGCTCACTCGCACGCTCACTCGCACGCTCACTCGCACGCTCACTCGCACGCTCACTCGCACGCTCACTCGCACGCTCACTCGCACGCTCACTCGCACGCTCACTCGCACGCTCACTCGCACGCTCACTCGCACGCTCACTCGCACGCTCACTCGCACGCTCACTCGCACGCTCACTCGCACGCTCACTCGCACGCTCACTCGCACGCTCACTCGCACGCTCACTCGCACGCTCACTCGCACGCTCACTCGCACGCTCACTCGCACGCTCACTCGCACGCTCACTCGCACGCTCACTCGCACGCTCACTCGCACGCTCACTCGCACGCTCACTCGCACGCTCACTCGCACGCTCACTCGCACGCTCACTCGCACGCTCACTCGCACGCTCACTCGCACGCTCACTCGCACGCTCACTCGCACGCTCACTCGCACGCTCACTCGCACGCTCACTCGCACGCTCACTCGCACGCTCACTCGCACGCTCACTCGCACGCTCACTCGCACGCTCACTCGCACGCTCACTCGCACGCTCACTCGCACGCTCACTCGCACGCTCACTCGCACGCTCACTCGCACGCTCACTCGCACGCTCACTCGCACGCTCACTCGCACGCTCACTCGCACGCTCACTCGCACGCTCACTCGCACGCTCACTCGCACGCTCACTCGCACGCTCACTCGCACGCTCACTCGCACGCTCACTCGCACGCTCACTCGCACGCTCACTCGCACGC